TAAGAATAATTTGCGATGGATATATCCTCCATACTTTGAAATAGTACTAATGATAATAATTACATTAACAATAACAATAATAATAATATAAATAACAATAATAGTAACAAGAATGTCGCCTACTAAGATTGTGTGTGGGAAGCAGCAAATGGCTAAGCTAGATGAAATATACATACCTTAATAAATAATGCTAAACTGTCACTGGAATAACGTGTCAGAGATATACTGCCCGTTCCATGGAAAATTACTAATCAGTGTTTTACACCAAAACTAATACCAATAAACACTTAACGAAACAAAGAATAAAAGATATTACTAACATCCTGCTCGGCAAAGGATTCCCGTGCGGCAAAACTACAGTCAAGCTAATCACAAATGGAAAGTTGAAAACCATTTGAAAAAGAATTCAAACCATTTGTAATTTGAGAAGCCTAGTTGTTAAGAAAATTTATTCAAAAAAAAAAGAATTGGAGAGGAAAAGTTACGCCTATTGTCTTACCTTTGCTGATCCTTCCTGAAGAGGGATGCCTTCTCTACCAACCATATTTGAGTCTTTTTGAACCACCTACATAGGAGGAAACTGTAGCTTCACGGTCCATCATTTTCATTTCTCTCTTTTGCTCATCCATTGACTGAGAAAAATAACAACACCCAAAGAATAACTACATGAAAATGAAGGTTTGAAGACACATTATTCATCAATAACATGATTAAAACTAAGATTCATCAATAACATAATTCAAAGCTTCACTGCAGATATGCCAATGCAGCCTTCCCAAACAGAACCTAGACTACAAACAATATCAGGCACATTCATAGTATACTCGCGGTAACCTATCAAAATAAGAACAAATATATTGACAGTGTAACACTAATTTAAGTTACCCCACTCTATTGGCTCTTGATCTTAGGTAAGCTTATGAAATACACTCAAAATTGTAGATTGATGCATTCAAATAAAGATAATTATTAGAGAATAATTGAAATATCAAATGCAAAAATATATAAAATTACATATATACCACAAAGTATGAAAGAATTTTTTTAAAATTGAACAATGATTAGTATAGAGGTCAGTCAAGTGACAGATGATGCTCAAAGTGCATATAAGAATGTCATTCTTCATTGGGAAGAAAAAAAATTGATCATTGTACCTACCTGAAAGAAGTCGGCTAAAAACACGGCATATATAAGGGGAGATACAGTGAGTGGTAGCCAATTACACCCAAATCATTTAACCTGCACCGTTAGCCTTTCATGCCATGTTAGATAATAGATACTTAGAAGCAATGTTAGATATGCTCGGATGTAAAATTCTAGAAATGAAATATGTGATACCAGAGACCAAAGCCAATCCCAAATCCAGCAAGCCTGGTGGTGTTGCGAGCGTAGCCCAGCTCTGCCACCCGTAGGAAGTGCATCAAAGGGATTAAAGAGATTGAAACAAAGAAATGCACCTCTTATTTAGCATGTCAATCACCACCAAGTTGTGCCCTTAGCTATTCTTAATTTGAGAGTTTCTATATGAATTTGATGAAAAAAATAGAAATGTACCGTAGCAGCCGGGCCAATGTTGAGAAAGATGAAGAATTGTTGATTGTACTCCTGCAACCACGACCTTCACCTTTACCTCTCCCTCAAGATGCATTGTTCCTAAAGTACTGCCCGTCATCTCTGTTTTCATTCTGGTCGATAGAGTACTCCCTCTCTTTTCCCTCTCCGATCTGCGCTGTGTGAAGCGCGGCTTCCAGAAGAAGCCTTCGACAATACCCCTCCTAGAATCCATCACAGTTCCTCCTTTGTCGCCGATGCTCGACCGCCGCTGTGTCATCACTGCAACCCATCTGATTGAAAAGTCAATCTCCCTTAGTTCTCTCGCTATGTCTGGTTGCCTGGGATGTGCTTTAGGTTTATCTCCGTGTACTCCAAAATGGCGTGCGAAATCCCAGACCAAAATCACGAGTACTCCAAAGCTTCTCTCGTGTGAAATCCCAGACCAAAATTTCGGGAACCTTTCAAAAGAAACCCTAGAAACCCGGAAGATGGGTGAGTATGCAAGAAGCAAAGCTTCTCCAGTACTCTAGTACATCTACAGTGAGTGAGTGTGCGGGAAGATATTTTATCAGAATGTGCGGTCCAAATCTCACTGTAGCATAAAAAATGGGCAGGTACACTGTAGAAAAATGCATCCTACCATTGTATATAGTAAGATTTGAATTAAAAAAACCTGTCCAAATTGGTGGCTTGGAGTGACGGGCAGAATTCCTCTCGTGGCGGTAATAAAGAACTTTCGCATCCTTCTTGACCACGTTGGTTACAATATTCGTTCCTCCCAGCGAGGCCATGACGTCAAATATTCTATGAATAGAGCAAATCATCGTTCTTCAGGGAGGAGAAGGAAGAGAAAAACCCTAAAAATAATTTAAAAAGGTTATGTGCTCCGTACCAGTTAATCGGAAATGAAAAATGCGCTTGGTATTCCTCTTCTTCTTTAATTGTCAGTTTTTTAATCCTACATGGCATGGCATTTTAATGATGAGTCAGCAGAATAATCTTAGGTGGCATGCCACATGGCGTAACGACAATTAAACCGCTCTACTCTATATATATAAGGCTTTCGGCATTGGCCCCCCTCTCTAGACAGTCTATCCAACACATACTCATGTAAAGAAGAAAAAATATTGGTGTCATTCTCAGTGAACATGAAACTTCCATAACATTCAAACAAATATTGGTGTCATTCTCAGTGAACATGAAACCTCTAGAACGTTGAGCATACCAAATGATGACTTCCCATTTAAGGAATTTCCTTTTTTCTATTTCTTCAGTATTATGATCAATTTCATCGATTACACTTTCTATCCAGCCTTCTCAAACCCTAAACCCGTTTGTGAATCAGGTTTCTCCAGTTGGTCTTTTATTTTATATCCCAATTCAAAACACAACCACAACAGATTCACATTGGATGGATTTGCCCCAAAAACTTTTAATCAGATTATGTTATTATTATACTTGGATAATCAAAACACATATAGCACCGAAAGATTCATGAAAACAGTAACAAAGAGCAACGAATTGAAAATCATAATTAAATAATTAAATTTAATTAAGAAAAATAATACTAAACTGCGACCATTCCACTTTCTGATGTTGAGTTGAGGCTGGCAAAGGACTCTACTCCTGATGCGTCATTAAGGTGTTTCCAATGGAGAAAAATTTAGCAAAGCAATAGGCTAATATGAATACCTCTGCATCCATTCTTGGATAAAATTATGATTTGAATCTTGATGATTTGCTAGGACTAATTAGGAATTGAAACTAATAAATTCAGTCAATAACCTGGACGCAGAAAAAGATTGAGGGCAGTGGTTCTGTCAAAAGAAGCAGGTAGTTCGGTCTTCCTCTCCAATCGTCCGAATTCTTCCTAGGGTTTTTTTGGGTTCATGCTGCTGCTTCGAAGAGACTCTTCAGCGTTTCACCTCCCTGCCATTTCAGTTTTTCGCTCTTTGCTTCGTAGGGGTTGAGCCTTTCCCCAACATCTGATTATTGATTGGTGGCTTGGAGTGACGGGCAGAATTCCTCTCGTGGCGGTAATGAAGAACTTATGCAGCCATCTAGAGGACGTTGGTTACAATCTCCCAGAGAGGCCATCATGTCAAATATTCGATGAATAGATCTTCGGTCTTTCGTCTTCATCAGAGCGAATTATCGTTCTTCAGGGAGGAGAAGTAAGAGAAAAACCCTAAAAATAATTTAAAAAGGTTATGTGCTCCGTACTAGTTAATCGGAAATGAAAAATGCGCTTGGTATTCCTCTTCTTCTTTAATTGTCAGTTTTTTAATCCTACATGGCATGGCATTTTTATGATGAGTCAGCAGAATAATCTTAGGTGGCATGCCACATGGCGTAACGACAATTAAACCGCTCTACTTTATATATATATAAGGCTTTCGGCTCTGGCCCCCCTCTCTAGACAGTCTATCCAACACATACTCATGTAAAGAAGAACAAATATTGGTGTCATTCTCAGTGAACATGAAACTTCCATAACATTCAAACAAATATTGGTGTCATTGTCACTGAACATGAAACCTCTAGAACGTTGAGCATACCAATTGATGACTTCCCATTTAAGGAATTTCCTTTTTTTTATTTCTTCAGTATTATGATCAATTTCATCGATTACACTTTCAATCCTGCCTTCTCAAACCCTAAACCCGTTTCTGAATCAGCTTTCTCCAGTTGGTCTTCTATTTTATATCCCAATTCAAAACACAACCGCAACAGATTCTCATTGGATGGATTTGCCCCAAAAGCTTTTAATCAGATTATGTTATTATTATACTTGGATAATCAAAACACATATAGCACCGAAAGATTCATGAAAATAGTAACAAAGAGCAACGAATTGAAAATCATAATTAAATAAATAAATTTAATTAAGAAAAATAATACTAAACTGCGACCATTCCACTTTCTGATGTTGAGTTGAGGCTGGCAAAGGACTCTGTACTCCTGATGCGTCATGAAGGTGTTTCCAATGGAGAAAAATTTAGCAAAGCAATAGGCTAATATGAATACCTCTGCATCCATTCTTGGATAAAATTAAGATTTGAATCTTGATGATTTGCTAGGACTGATTAGGAATTGAAACTAATAAATTCAGTCAATAACCTGGACGCAGAAAAAGATTGAGGGCAGTGGTTCTATCAAAAGAAGCAGGTAGTTCGGTCTTCCTCTCCATCGCAAACAAAATACAAATTGGAATTGGACGGATATGGTAAATTGTTTACGGTATGAAGTTGGAGAACCTTGGTGGAGAAATTGATCGATTGCTTCTCTCTTGAGCAATTAGTATAGAACCTTGGTGGAGAAGATTCAGCTAATGCTTCATTGTGAACTTCGTTAGTGTGCATTTTGGCCTAAAGTGATTGCCAATTGATGGACTAGTCGGATCAAAGAGAAGCTATTTCCATTTCTGTGCCAAACCCAACTGTCAGTATTGCCCATAAATTATTGCTTGGTCATTAATGAGTCCTTTTTTGTAAATGACAAAACCATTAAACTGTTCCAAAGCAATGTTGTCTCAAAAACAACCCCTCACTAAGATAAGTTTATAGTTGCTCAGACTTGTTATCTATAAAAAAGAATTCAAACCATTTGTTATTTGAGAAGCCTAGTTGTTAAGAATATTTATTCCAAAAAAAAGAATTAGAGAGGAAAAGTTACGCCTATTGGAGTACCTTTTCTTATCCTTCCTGAAGAGGGATGCCTTCTCTACCAACCATATTTGAGTCTTTATGAACCACCTACATAGGAAGAAACTGTAGCTTCACGGTCCATCAACTTCATTTCTCTCTTTTGCTCATCCATTGACTGAGAAAAATAACAACACCCAAAGAATAACTACATGAAAATGAAGGTTTGAAGACACATTATTCATCAATAACATGATTAAAACTAAGATTCATCAATAACATAATTCAAACCTTCACTGCAGATATGCCAATGCAGCCTTCCCAAACAGAACCTAGACTACAAACAATATCAGGCANGAAACTGTAGCTTCACGGTCCATCAACTTCATTTCTCTCTTTTGCTCATCCATTGACTGAGAAAAATAACAACACCCAAAGAATAACTACATGAAAATGAAGGTTTGAAGACACATTATTCATCAATAACATGATTAAAACTAAGATTCATCAATAACATAATTCAAACCTTCACTGCAGATATGCCAATGCAGCCTTCCCAAACAGAACCTAGACTACAAACAATATCAGGCAAATTCATAGTATACTCGTGGTAACCTATCAAAAAAGAACAAATATATTGACAGTGTAACACTAATTTAAATTACCCCACTGTATTGGCTCTTGATCTTAGGTAAGCTTATGAAATACACTCAAAACTGTAGATTGATGCACTCAAATAAAGATAATTATTAGAGAATAATTGAAATATCAAGTGCAAAAATATATCAAATTACATATATACCACAAAAAAATGAAAGAATTTTTTTAAAATTGAATAAAACTCGAATAAAAAGCATTACCTTGCTACCACGTTGAAAGAAGAAGAAGACCAGTAGATCTACTCGCTGATGCGGGTGATGTTGCTCCCCAAGAATTAACCTTACAGTTTCTACATTCTTAGCATCTCTAAAAGAAGAACGGTCTGTTTACACACAATCACCGAAGAGGAAGATCTTTGCCCCCATTGCGTTTCCAGGACGGGGTTGTGGACAGTTCACATGAGTGGAAATATTCACAAAGTACATAGACAATGAGGCGATCACAATGCGTAAAATGCTATTCCCAATCTGCATCAAAGAACCCCGCGTCTTTCATCTCCGAATAGTATGCCTCCTCCAGAAGCCAATCTTCTTCCTAAATTGTTTGTTGCCCCCAAATAGAACAACGATTAGTATAGAGGTGAGTCAAGTGAAAGATGAAGCTCAAAGTGCATATAAGAATGTCATTCTTCATTGGGAAGAAAAAAAATTGATCATTTTACCTACCTGAAAGAAGTCGGCTAAAAACACGGCATATATAAGGGGAGATACAGTGAGTGGTAGCCAATTACACCCAAATCATTTAACCTGCACCGTTAGCCATTCATGCCACGTTAGATAATAGAAACTTAGAAGCAATTTTAGATATGCTCGGATGTAAAATTCTAGAAATGAAATATGTGATACCAGAGACCAAAGCCAATCCCAAATCCAGCAAGCCAGGTGGTGTTGCTGGCCTAGCCCAGCTCTGCCACCCGTAGGAAGTGCATCAAAGGGATTAAAGAGATTGAAACAAATAAATGCACCTCTTATTTAGCATGTCAATCACCACCGAGTTGTGCCCTTAGCTATTCTTAATTTGAGAGTTTCTATATGAATTTGATGAAAAAAA